TATAGATATATATATCTATATATAGATATATATATCTATATATAGATGTATACATTTTGCAGACCCCTAAGCATCACCTCGCAGACCCCCGGGCGTCCGGGATCTCAGTTTGAGAACCACTGATTTAAATAGCAGCTGAGCGACCAAAGACTTCTCCTTTTCCTCTTCTGTGTGTTTGCAGCGGACACCCCCGTGGCCCCCTGCCCTCTAAAAGCCCAGGGCGTTGCTTTAGGGATCAATGAGACATATGCTGGCCAAGTCAGGCCTGTAATACAAAGCCCAAATATGTATTAGTTTACAGTAACATCATGTTGACTCATTAGGCCCATCAATACTATCTGTTTCTCTGCAGATGGCACGAGGTTAGATAATCCCTGTCTGTTTGTGTACGTTGGAGTGTGTGCATGTGTTTCTACAAGTGTCCAGCAAGCTGTTCAGAATAAAACTCTCATAGAAGTTAATTTATCAGATGCACATTTTTCCCTCCTTTTTTTGTGTGTGATTCTCCAGGTCTGGTGTGTATGAAGTCCAGCAGCTCGGTGGTGGAGCTTGTCATGCTTCTGTGCTCTCAGGCAAGTCATCTTTATCTTTTTGTGCTTCTGTTTAGTGCGTCTGATTGATCAGTTTCACCTTGAGCTGCGGTGTTTTTTTGCAGCCTTATCTTTCCCTCCACCCTGCCTTTTCCACTTCTCCATATTCACCCTCCACCTACAACGTTAAAGTTAAAAATCAGAGGAAAGGCATCTTCATCCACAAATATTGGCTTGAGGGTCAAGAGTGGCCGACCTGTCCGTGTCACCTCTGACCCGAGCGCTGGCCCTCGTGGCCTGGACCAAACTGATGAGGAGGGATGATGTAGATTTGATGGTGCTTTGCATTGATTACCTTTCTCTCCTCTGTTGTCCTGTGGGTGTTTTGTTGCCACGTTTATTTAGCTCCTGCCGGATTCGTGAATACTAATTCAGGGATCATAAGCAGGCGTGGGCAGATCAATGATGAGGGTTGCCGATAGATCACTCCAGAAAGACTGATTACCATTAAAAGATGCAAAATTATAGGTTGACTACTGCTTGAAACACACAATCACTGTTCTCTGTTTATTTTAAATCTACTTGTAAATACATAGCCTTTAAGTGTGTTCTTTTTTATTTTTTTTTCATTTATTGTTCAATTGCACTTGTTCTCTCTGTGACAAGGACAGCAGATAACTTCCCTCTGACCCAGTGTTGCATTTTCAAATAATACAAAAATCGTATCTGATTAATGATGCCTCCCCATTGCGCTCTGCTTTTTTTTTTTTTTTTTTTTTTATCAGCTTGATTTCTTAAAGAAAAAAAAATGCTCGTCATATCTTTTTGCCTCATCCTACCTCCCCGTTTGTTGTCCAGGTCCCAATTATTCACTTCTATTATTTTAAAAAAAAAAGGCTAATGCAGCCAGATTACACATCTGCTTGGATGTTGTTGGCCTTGAGATTTGGGGCTAGTGGGACTTGAGAAAAAGGGAATGTGAGCCCCGTTGCATCTGGAGCCGAAGAAATGGCAGAAGTGAAAGCTAGACAGAGAACCAAAGAGAGGAGAATGACAGGCACTAATGCACCTATTTGTCATATCTGTCAGGGTGTTGTTTAATGCTAATCTAATCAAAGGCAGAATCTCAGTGATTGCTCTGCTGCACAGCTCATGTCTCGCTTCCCCCTTTGGTCCACATCCCAAGCTATTTCTTCCTTTTCTCAGAGCGTCGAGCCACGCACACACGCTTTTTAAGTGCGGCGACCAGGGATTGGCCAATGCAGCGTTGATTGCTTCAATAAATCATCCAACCAAATTCTCTCACAGCTAATGCAAATGTAATTTTATTGTTGTGTAAAGGAGGGGAGAAAGGTGGGAATGATATGCTGCCTCTCACTGGGGAAAAGAGGAAAGCAGGGACAGACTTTCCTCCAGGCTAAATTACAACGTGTAATTATTTGTGTGTTTGTGCTACATGTGAGGCAGTGAGAGTGAGCCCGCACCATGATGGATGACATTATTTAGTGGAGTTTCTCGGGCCCTCTGGCACAGGAAGCGTTAAATTCTCACACAGGAAGTGCCTTTGTAGTCATCTTGCGACTTTTTCCCTGCCTTCGAGCTAACTAGTGAAAGAAGTAGATGGAGATGATTTTGATGGATTTGCTTTCCCTCCTGTCTCTCCCCCCCCCCCCCCCACTCCTTCATCAGAGATGTGATGTGATACCATCTCTGTGAAATTTTAATTAATTTCCCGAGCTTCGAGATGGAGTGGAGCCGGGGTTAGGGGTCAAGAGGCAAGGGACCACAGAGCAGTTTTTAATCAGGGATCCTATGAAAGTTGCATTGGCAGCCACATCAGCTTGGCATTGAGGAGGGGATTGTAAACCACTGTTTGATAGTGCCTCTATTCGAAGTGACTACAACAGTGCTCCCAATTAAAGGACCATTTTGATCAGACATTAACTGTTGGGGTGGTATGCTGCCTTGTTCTCATCTGTAATATTGATCCTCGTTGACTGATAAATATACAAAGTGAGGATTAATGATCACAAACTGTATTTCTTAAACATGAGAGAGGGAAGGTTTCCAGGTTTCTGCTTATTCATTGTTGGTAAATATAAAAAGAAAGTTTGATAAAATTCATTTTGTCTTACGAAACAAGGCGAAAACACGTATGTATCTAAGTTTTATAACTAATAATAAGGGAACACTTTACATGGGATGACAATTAGACTTGTTTCTTATTATGGTCATTTGGCTAATACATAGGCCTGTCGCAATAAACAATAAATCAATTAATCGCATGATATATTAAAATTATCGACCTCATTTTCATTTTTTGGCTTAATCGTTTTGTCGCGTCTCTCAGTAGTGAAGACACTGGATGACAAAAGGCTCAACTTTGGTGCTCTTCACTGACCCCTCCCTTTCTCTTTAAAATCCATTTTAATCATCCAAAATCACAGTTTTGGATCGTTAAAAACGGCTAAGCTGAGAAGCTAAGCTACGAGATAAACTAACAGGCATACTTTGGGGAAAAAAACCTTAATCTTGTCGAAACTCCAAAATTCATGGTTGAAACCTGTGCCTTTGTATAAAAAGTTGCTTTCCTCTGCAAAAAGAAGCTGAGAACTTGTTTACTGATTTTTTTTTAATTAAAAGCTTTGTGTGAAAAATGCTATGCTAAAGAGCTCAAAATACACAGAGCGTCCGCCATTTTGAGAACCGAAGAGACAGCCCATGTCACGTCAAGGGGCCTCCCTCCCATTTTTCTTAGAGACGCTGCTTGCTGCCTCACTATCCATCCTTCGATTCAAACAGTCTTATACTGCCATCCAGTGGTCGAAAAAGATACTACATGCAAATCAAATTAACAATCATTTCTTCTTAAATTTGACAATAATTAGTAATTATTGTCAATTTCAAACCATATTATCGTTTATCGCAATAATTTCTCAGACAATTAATCGCCCAGCAAAATTTATTGTTGTGACAGGCCTACTAACACATTTTGAAGGAACTTTTTTTGTCTAAACATAATCTACAAATAAGATTGTATTGCTCTTTTAGGCCACATACACTTTCTATGTCAAGAAGCATTTGCTCCCTCTTTCCTTCCATTTGATTACATTAGTTTCACTTGGTCTTCTACACTTTTTCTCTTTGTGACATATTTATGACCAAAATGCTGTTTCCTTGATGCACTCCTAGAATTCCCTTCTCCCAAATCCATGTTATTAATCAGCGGTACATTGGGACAAGAGACAGGAGTTTCATTGGAGCTTGCTGCCATCCATCCAGAGTTTTGAGAAATTATCTCATTGGATACCGGATGGTGTTCGTTGTGCAGAGGCCCCATAAATCTTCTCAGTAGCTGCGTTTGTGTCCTGTAGATCAACCATTATTGTCCAGCCCTTCTGTCAGCCCATTCATCCTCCTGCCATTTATCAGAGATGCATCCTGTGAGAGGAGTGGAAGGCAAAGAGAAGGGACAGCGATGTCAGGTGGAGAAACGCCGGTTTTGTTGTGGTCAAATGCTGAATACGCCGAAGAAAACAGGAGGCAAAAATTAGTTTAATTAGATGGAAGGGAACTCCCTGTGGTCTTTTTCAAAACCTTAAACAAACATTGTGTTTACTTTGTGGTGCATTTAAACACATCTTTTAAATAATGATTTAGTGGTATTTTGCCATGTTTACGGGGCATTTTTGTTAATTGATAAGATTTTAATAAACTAGGTTGTAATGGATAAGTTGGTCAGGGCAGTGGGGTTTATAATTTTAAAATAGTTAAACAACAAATCCACTCCATTTTGCCATCTTCCTCAAGTTGTATAGCTGTAACATGTTAAATTTTCACCTGCTTTGATGGTCCTAGAGCAACATCATAAGGACGATGCTCTAAAACACCAGCACAACACTTTTATATCGTTACAGTGTAGTAGGAACGATTTGCAGATTTCAGCCATGAAATCTCCACTAAGTATTAGGGATGCACGATATTGGATTTTTGGCCGAGATCCGATATGCAGATACGTTAAAACTTATTTGGGCGATAACCGATACCGATATTTTATATACTTTACTTTGCTAGAACATAGCCCTCTTATTTAGGCTTATTTGCTACAAAAATTGTGCAACAGCTGTAAGATCTGGTGACATATATTCAGTAATAGCCATATGATATGCATAGTACTATAATTAATATATAATAAAGTGTTAAATGTTATTTATTAACATTCATCACCTGCGATGCGGTCTCACTTGTGGAGGCTTGTTCCAGGATCCTCTGCACTCCTGTGCATGAACAGCCTTTTTAAGATCAATGTTTTTGTCTATCCATTGTGCCGTAAGACTAATCATGCTAACGGGACTAACACGACATCCAAATGTCTGTGGCAAAACTCACCTAATAAGTCAGAGTTAGAGTCAGAGTCAGAGTTTCTTTATTGTCATTCGCACCTCATGTGGTACATGTGGTGGAGCGAAATTATGTACACAGGGTCCCAGTTACATCCAACAATAAAATGTATAAGAAAAACAGTAATAACATCTAAGATATGAACCAAGAAAAACATCAACTAAATATACACTAAGCACTCATAACATAAAACATTGAACATCAGCACAAACATGAACACGAGTCTGTGAGCAGATGTGCACGCATGAACACACCAACATTGAAACAGATCAGCAGCAACATGAAACAGATCAGCAGCAACACGATATGGTTTTTCACAGTGACCATTCTAGTTAGAGATTCATGAGTCTAACAGCCTCAGGGTAGAAGCTGCTCCTCAGTCCAGTGGTTCCACACTCAATGCTCCCCAACCTCCTTCCCGAGGGGAGCGGGGCAAAAAGCGTGTGCGCTGGGCGAGTGGGGCCCCCCATGATGCAGGTTATTTATTAATAAGTCGTGCTATCAACTATTAGCTTCTCAATGACGTCGGAAATGATGGCTTGTAACTCGGGCAATGTTACGTCGGAAAAATTTCTGACTGGAGGCGATGTAGTGAGGCTCAGCATAGTCCATAAATCTTCAGAATCTGATATTCTCACCAACAAAAAATAAAACTTCGACACCGCCGACATTTTGACTTTTTCCTCTCTGCCATGATTAGTAAAGGTAGGTGACGTCATCACGTTGTGCTGGCGCTGCAGGCGTCCTTGTCACTGGGTTGTCATACAAAATAAATGTCTTATATATCTGTGATTATTTTGATGGAATTGCCAATGTCCGATATTTAAATTTAATGCTAACATTGGCCAATATCGATACCATGCCAATAATATCGTGCATCCCTACTGAGTAGTGTTGTCATTGCAGCCTCTGAGCAAAGGAAGACTTGGTTGGTAAATGTAATCTAAAATACTCTCACAAGAACTTGAAGGAACTTTGTCTTTCAATTAAGCATTTTGTTGTGGCCACTGGTTCATATAAGACTTGATTTGGTAACATCACTAATCCGACAGCTCCTTGAATCACGTTTCCCTCCAGATTGACCAAATATAATTTGTTTAACAGATGGACACCTCTCTTTCTAATTCATGAGGAAAAAAGACATGGACTTTCCTGAACACTTTGCTCATCCTGACCTTTGGCATGATGACCTGCAATGGTGGAGGCATGGACTTTAAACCCCCGCTGCAGTTAGGGAACAGGTCAGGAGAGTATGGTCGTCACACTCCAAACAACCAATAACATCATCTGAGAAACAAGGGAACAGGTTAAAAAGTCAGCAAATTTACGATAAAGATAACAAAAATTAACAGCTAATAAAAATGTTATTTGTTGTTCATCTTTATTATATCAAATGTAGTCTATGTAAAGAAATCTGGCTAGAAGACCTTCAAGAAATGTGGCGAAACAAAGACAAAAATACTATTGCCAACATTTTCCTCACAGCCAGCCCTACACCCCGCTGTGCAGTTAAACAGGCATGCAAGGTTCAAGATCAGGGAAAATCAAAGAGCTGTTTTTACCTCCCTCCCTGTTCGCCCTCGCCCCATACTTTGCTCCCATGCCCCTTTACAGCTGCGCCACGCGGCTCGCTGTCCCATGCCATCACTCAGTCATGCAACGTATTCTTTGAAAATATTCTCTCCTGTGAGATGCAGAGAAAACACGGCAACACCAACTGGCACTTAATCCTGAAGACTCCCCGTCGTTGGCAACTACGCTGCCGGAGAAGGGGGTCGTGGGGGTGTGTTGTGTCGAAGGAGCTGGGGGTCAAAAGGGCTTCCTGACAGGAAGTGAAGTCTAGCTGAGAGGAGAAAATCAGACAAGAGACTCTTAAAAATATTGAGTGGCTTTTAATTTGAAACCTGACCAGCTTTACTGTGAGCTGGCTTCAACTGGTCAGTTATTTATACTCGACATATAATCATGTTTCAAATAAATGAATTTTCCTGACAGAGACCTCTCCTCCTGACAGGCACCGGTAATGTAATGTTTTCTAACCCGACAGGTCCCCAGCTATAAGACCTTGGAATGTATCACGATGTTTTTCGCTTGCTATTTTCTCAGCCACCCTGCTGATAAAAATCATATCCTGGCATCTTTGCTCAGATTTGCAATGGAAAGTCATCTCGAGGTATTTTTTTTTATCTGGCAACAGAGCGGTTTAAATCTGCAACATGATGTACTTGTAAAGCAACTAGAATACAGTTTGTACCAATTGTGTCTCAGACGCGTACTTAAAAAAGGTGAAGTAGAACAAAACAGTTTTTGCTCGCAGTTGTTCAGTTGCTGTCACCAAATAGTTATTTGAGAACTAGTTAAATGAGAATATTTATTTGAGAACTAGTTAAATGAGTACTGGTTGTATCTTCTGTCGACGAGGAAGAGGGCCGGCACAAGAGGAGGGGGGGTGCCAAAGACACCATCTTAGCACCAACATAACTGGTTTGTTCCACTTTGGAGTAAGCTGTTTGGGGGAAGAATCAGTTTTGTGTTGTGTTTCCTTGTTGATTGATGAAGCCTTCTGGATAGAAGGTGAATTGTTTCAGCAAAACAAAAAAAGAAACTGTCCAGATGACCTTACTAAAAATTGTTGGATTGTATACCTGGATTATTGAGCATGGACTTTTTTGGTTGCATCTTCATTTACAAAATTTGTTCTGCTTTGTGTTTCTTTGCCAATTGTATTGTGATTAACATTTCCAACACAGACAAAATATGTTTTTGGTTTTCAAGGAGAGCGGGGCTTTGGTTAGGTAAAAATGGAGGCTTTTCACTTGGGCTAATCATTTTTACCTGTATATGTCCACTAAACCCACTGAAGAGTTTATTCATTCAACCTTTATTTATACAGGTTAGTCCCATTGAGCCTCGGGGACTCATTTGCAAGAGAGACCGGAATTTTAACAGAGTAATGACAACAGTGGATAACAACGACAACAATAGATAATCATAAAGGATGCGTACAAATTATTATTATTATTTTGTTTTTTTAACAAATGAAAATAAAATGCTAATTAAAAGGAAAAGTAGTGAAAAAAACAGCTAGGTTATAAGGAACATGTCTGCATTGTTTTTTGCCAGGAACTTAACAGATGTTGAAAGCCACTTAGAGAGGTCAAGGTCATTTTATAACTTCTCAAGCAAGGTTTGTCGAAAAAAAATAAAATAAAATATTTGATTCGAAAAGAGATTACGTAGATCATATAAATTATTGATACTGATAGATGAAAGGATAAATGAAAGATAAACAAAAGCAGACATACAAGTACACAAAAACATCAATTAATTAATTTTTTTTACAAAGTGTTGAAAAGCTGGATATGTAGAAAAATGGGGCACAGTTTAAAATGTACAGGAATTCTTTGCGGTGGACTTGAGCGGATGATGTCACCTGTGGTCTTGGGAGGTTATAAAGGTGAAGCAAGACCACATGAATAGACTACTGTAATTTACAGACTATAAGCCACTACTTTTTTCACAGGCTTTGAACACAGGGGCTTATGCAATGCTGCGGCTAATTTATGGATTTTGTTTTATTTTGACGGGCTGACTAGCTTCATACTGCCCAAATATTTAGCTTTGTCACACACAGGCACTAACATAGCTGCCCAGTACACGTTTCTCATGGGGGGTGTGGGTCCTTGTGACTCAATGACACTACCTGTATAAAGAGAAAGAAAAAATCTGACCAATGAAATTACCAAACAGGTCACAGTGGACCAGTGAAACGCTGAATGACCATAAATCAAACGCACTCACACTAAATTCTTCAGATCAGGTATTTTGTGCTTCATGCACAGACCCTCATCATGGAAAGCACAAAGAAATATGATGCAGCTTTCAGGTTAAAGGTGATCAAGCTGACTGTCGAAGAATGAAACAGCTGCTGCATGCAAGCTTGGTGTTTCCTGTTAGGCTACTGTATTTTTTATTTTTTTTTATTTAACCAGCCATGGTACAGGTACTGTTCAGAAAACAAAAAACAAAACAATCAAACAAACAAAAATTGTACTCTGTGTATGTTACTGGTACATATTTAATTAAAAGTTAAAAAATCTTTGTGTAGCTTTCTCATGCTACAATGTGGACATCCACGACTTAT